CCTTCCTTCCTTCCTTCCTTCCTTCCTTCCTTCCTTCCTTCCTTCCTCCCTTCCTCCCTTCTTTCCTTCCTTCCATCTATCTATCTATCTCATCATCTAATCTCTCGGGGCTCTACCGCCTGCTTCCCCCAAATTGTGTGAAAATTTGGTGAATAAACATCTTAGAAAGGCACAGCTTTTCTTTTCTGCTAGGAATAAGTTTTTGTTCACTAGTAGCACTACTGGGTAGTGGAAAAAATACTGAATATCGAGCCAGAAGGCTTGAGTTTCAATTCTGGCTTTGCTATTCACTCCTTGTACAACTCTGAACAAGCTATTAAATTTCTGGGGCTCAAAATTTGTTCCTCTATAGAATGAGGGTTTTCAACTAGAGACCTCTGAAGTTCCTTTCAGCCCTAAATTCAATAATCCTAAATCACCTTTGCAATTCCTTCACCCATGCATAGTTGCATTGTCTCCATGTTTATGAGCTTCTGTACAGGGACTATGTCTGTTTGTAACTTAATTGCCCCAAATTCATGGCATAATGTTGCACATTGTGTCACTTGAGGAAGACTTGTTGTGCATACCCTTTGATCCAGCAATATCACTCCTAGGTATATAGTCAAAGACATAAAAAAAAAGGAAAGGAACCTATTTATACAAAAATATTTATAGCAGTTCTTCTTGTAATGGCTGAGAATCGGAAATTGAAGAGATGCCCATTAATTGGGGAATGGCTAAACAAACTGTGGTATACGCTTGTAATGGAATATTATTGTGCTCTAAGAAATTAAAATCAGGATGATTTCAGAAAAATCTAGAAAGGCAACATGAATTGATTCACAGTGAAGTGAATAGAACCAGGAGAACATTATTCATAGTATATATATATATATCTATAACAGCAATATTGTTTGATGAAGAATTGTGAATGAGTTAGTTGTTCTCAGCAATACAATGATCCAAGACAACCCCAAAGGACTAACGATGAAGCATACTATCTACTTCTAGAGAAAGAACTGATATTGTTTGAATACAAACTGAAACATGCTATTTTTCACTTTCTCCTATTATTTTTCTTTTATTCAAATCTTGTACAGAATGACTAGCATGGGAATGTTTTACATGATTGCACATGTGTAATCTATATCTGATTGCTTATCATCTCAAGAGGGGAGGGGAAGGAGGGATAGAATTTGGAACTTCAAACTTAAAAAAATGTAAAAATATTTTAACATGTAATTGGGGAAAAATATATATACATATATGCACATATATGTACACATACATGTATATGTATATGTATGTGTAATATATAGGAAATATTTGTTGATAAGCAGGTAAATTTTGTATCACCATGGGCTTATGAAAAAATCCTTTCCTTAGAAAATTTGGCCTGAATAATAGGCTCTCTGTTTGCCTGTTCTTCACCCCTTCCCAATATTCTTTTGAAATTATACCAGATTTTGGGGCAGCTCAGTGGCGCAGTGGACAGATCACCAGCCCTGGATTCAGGAGAACAGGAGTTCAAATTTGGCCTCAGACAAATAACACTTACTAGCTATGTGACCCTGCGCAAGTCACTTAATCCCATTGCCTAACCAAAACAAACAAATGAACAAAAAAAAAGAAATCATACCAGATTTGTTAACATACCTTGAGCCCGTACTGTTTGGAGAGTACTTGGGCCTTTGTATATTTGTTTAAGAGTACCCTTGCCTTTGGGGCATATAAGGTATTTAGGGAGCACTAGCACCTCTGGATATGATGACTTGCTGAGCCCTTTAAAGGGCAGCTCATCAATTTTTGGTGCCTACCTCTCACCCAACTCTTACCTGTGGCTCCAAGAAGCTGTAGAATGAGGAGCAGCCACATGTCAATAAAACTATCTCAGCAGATGGGCTAAACTAGCCTGAGTTTAACTGATGGGCCTCAAACCCAAGCATGGGAAGACTCCCTCCATCAGAAGGAGCAGATGAGAGAAATTTGTTCCAATGATCATGAAGGTAGATGAAGCAGGTGCTGTGAAATGCTTAGAGCTTGGTTAGACATTGAAGATACCAAGGTCATCCATTGCATCCCAGGCCATCGCCAGTCATCTTGACTTTTGTCTTGCCACTGGACTTTGGTGATTCTTGAAGGTAGAGTGAAGATGATGACTTTGTAAAATTCTGCTTCACTTATGCCCAATTCACTCAGGAGTCAACACCACCCTGTGATGTCATTGGTCATCTTCAAAATGAAAGACAAACAATAACAACTTCTGATATTATTTGTTTAAAAATATTTTAAAACCTTTAAGATATATAAATATCACAATGTATTCTTATAGAAAAAAATTTTAGGTTTTAGATATTTGTAGAAACAATGCCAAATTCCCATAAGAGTTAAAAAAAATTTCCCTTAGGGTAGAGTCAAGATGGTAGAGTGAAAGCAGTGACTTGCTTGAGCTCTCCCCTAAACTCCTCCAAATACCTGTAAAAAAATGGCTCTAGAAAAATTCTAAAGCAGCAGAACCCACAAAAAGACAGAGTGAAACAAATTTCCAGCCCAAGACAACCTGGATGGTTGATCAGAAAGGTATATTGCGCTAGGTGGGGAGAGGAGTGTAGTACAGTGTGAGCACGTAGGCCTCAGTGAACCTGGAGCAGGCCTCAGAGGACATAATCACAGGCAGCTGTGGTGGTTTCCATACTACTCAACCCATGAACGCCAAAGACCACTTAGAAGGTCAGTGGGAAAAGTCTATGACTGCGGTGAGAGAAGGAGGTAGGTCTCAGCCGCAAGTCTCAAGCACTACCCGGGGCAACGACTGTTTCCTGAGCTTCCAGCCCACAGACTGAGGGGGAATTGAGTGGTTGATCAGAGGGGGATTGCAAGGATCTCTTTTCCAGGGCTAAGGCAGGATTCTCTTGCTTTACTGGTGCTTGGATCTGGGTCACAGTTCTGAGGGGTGGTCTTGGAGCAAGGAGGAATGCTGGTGTGCTGGAGCTTGTTGTGGCTGTAGAGAGGAAACACCTCGCCCCTTATCATATCACCTTGGAAGAACTGAAAATTTACAGGTCCCTAGAAGTGTTTTGAAAACAGCTGTACAAACCCCCAAAGCTTGGGACAGTACACTCTTCACATTGGAAGCAGGCTTTTACCTTAACAAAGAGTTTAAAACTCAAGTAATTAGCCAGGATCACGAGAAAGCAGTGCAAAAGGAGTCAGACTATGTTATCTTACTTTGATGACAAAGAAGATCAAAACATACAACCAGAAGAAGACAACAAAGTCAAAGCTCCTACATCCAAAGCCTCCAAGAAAAATATGAATCAGTCCCAGGCCTTGGAAGAACTCAAAAGGGATTTTGAGAAGCAAGTAAGAGAAGTAGAGGAAAAACTGGGAAGAGAAATGAGAGTGATGCAAGAAAATCATGAAAAACAAGTCAACAGCTTGATAAAGGAGACCCAAAAAAATACTGAAGAAAATAACACCTTAAAAAATAGCCTAACCCAAATGGCTAAAGAGGTCCAAAAAGTCAATGAGGAGAAGAATGCCCTAAAAAGCAAAATTGGCCAAATGGAAAAGGAAGTCCAAAAAATTACTGAAGAAAATACTTCCTTAAAAATTAGAATAGAGCAATTGGAAGCTAGTGACTTTATGAGAAATCGAGACACTGTAAAACAAATCCAAAAGAATGAAAAATTAGAAAAGAATGTGAAATATCTCATTGGAAAAACAACTGACCTGAAAAATAGATCCAGGAGAGAGAATTTAAAAATTATTGGACTTTCTGAAAGCCATGATCAGAAAAAGAGCCTAGACATCATCTTTCAAGAAATTATCCAGGAAAACTGTTCTGATATTTTAGAATCAGAGGGCAAAATAGAAATGGAAAGAATCCACCGATATCCTCCTGAAAGAGATCCCCAAAGGAAAAGTCTTAGGAATATTGTAGTCAAATTCCAGAGTTCCCAGTTCAAGGAGAAAATATTACAAGCAGCCAGAAAGAAACAATTCAAGTATTGTGGAAACACAATCAGGATAACACAAGATTTAGCAGCTTCTACATTAAGGGACCGCCAGGCATGGAATATAATATTCCAGAGGGCAAAGGAGATAGAATTACAAACAAGAATCACCTACCCAGCAAAACTGAGTATAATCCTGCAGGGGAAAAATGGTCATTCAGTCACATAGAGGACTTTCAAGCACTCTTGATGAAAAGACCAGAGCTGAATAGAAAATTTGACTTTCCAATACAAGACTCAAGTGGAACATGAAGAGGTAAACAGGAAAGAGAAATAAGGGACTTATAAAGGTTGAACTGTTTACATTCCTGCATGGAAAGATGATATTTGTAACTCATGAGACCTTTGTCAGCATTAGGGTAGTTGTAGAGAAAAGATTATATGTATTATATATAGATGTAGATATAGATAGATAGATAGATAGATAGATAGATAGATAGATAGATAGATAGAGAGAGAGAGAGAGAGAGAGAGAGAGAGAGAGAGAGAGAGAGAGAGAGAGAGAGATAGAGAGATAGAGGGCACAGGGTGAGTTGAAGATGAAGGGGTCATATCTGGAGAATAAAATTAAATGGTGAGAGAGGATTATACTAGGAGAAGGAGAAAGGGAGAGGTAGAAAAGGGTAGATTATCTCACAAAAAACAAAAAAGTAAAGGCTCTTACAGTGGAGGGGAAATGGGGGAAAGCAAGAGGGAATGAGTGAATTTTATTCTCATAGGATTTGACTTAAGGAGGAAATAGCATACACACTCAATTGGGTATGGAAATCTGTCTTACCCTACAGGAAAATAGGAGGGAAAGGGGTACAAGAGAGTAGGGGGATGATAGAGAGGAGTGCAGATTGGGAAAGGGGGTAATCAGAAGCAAATACTTCTGAGGAGGGACAGGGTCAAAAGAAAGAATAAAATAAAGGGGGAGGGCAGGATAGGATTAAGGGAAATAGAGTTAGTTTTTCACAGCATGTCTACTATGGAAGTGTTTTGCATAACTGCACATGTATAACCTATATTGAGTTGCTTGCTTTTTCAATGAGGGTGGGTGGGGAGGGAGGAAAGGAGAAAATTTGGAACCCAAAATTTTAAAAACACATGTTTTAAAAAAATGTTTTCACATGTAACTGGGAAATAAGAAATACAGGAAATGGGGTACAGAAATCTATCCTGCCCTACAGGAAAATAGAAGGGGAAAGGGATAAGAGAAGGGGAGGAGAGATAGAAGGGAAGGCAGACTAAGGGAAAGGGTATTCAGAATGCATGCTATCTTGGGGTGGGGGGTGGGGTGAGATGGGATGCAAATTTGGAACTCAAAGTCTTGTGGAAATAAATGTTGAAAACTGAAAATAAATAAATTTATTAATGAAAAAAAATTTCCCTTATATACTGAGATATTTGCTACCCAAACATAGAGATATTTAGAAATATCCAGGTAATTTTTTTAATTTTTAAAAATATTCTGTTTTCCAATTACATGTGAAAACAATTTTTAACTTTTTTAAAAAAAATTTTGAGTTCCAAGTTCTTTCCCTCCTTTTTTCCCTCACTCCCTTGTCCCCTCCTTAGGAAGGCAAGCAATTTGATATGGGTTATACATGTGCAGTCACTCAAAACATATTTCCATATTAGTTTTTTGTGAAAGAAAACAAAGATAAAACTCAATAAAAATACATTTTTAAAAAGTATGCTTTGATCTGTATTTCTTAGTCTGGAGGTAGATAGCATTTTTCATCGTAAGTTCTATCTTAGATCATTGTATTGTTTAGACTAGCTAAGTCATTCAATGTTGAACATTGTACAATATTGCTGTTACTGTGTACAATGTTCTTCAGGTTCTGCTCACTTCACTTTGCATCAGTTTATGTATTGACTGATATTTTAAAATGTTCTTTAAACTATTAAGTATCACCTGAATTCAGGTGTGGTGCAATCTAAATTATGCAACCTAATTTGGTATTTTGTTTTGTCTTAGCATATGTTTTAAAACACAAAATACTATTAATAAAATAATGGGGAAATACAAAAGATAACTTTAAAAAAATGTTAGTCTTAATTTCAAAAATGACTAAAAAGTACCAAATAATATTTACATTCCATTTATTACTGAATTACCTTAAATCCAATCTTGCTGGCAGTTTTAGAAGAGATACTTAGAGGGCAATGACCCAAAGACAAACTTAAGAAAATCACATTCATCAGGGGAAAAGGTGCTTTTTCCTATGACCACCCTACTCATATGTAGTTCTAAATTTTTAATAGAAATAGATAATGGATAATAGATAATCTATGTTGTTGTTATTGCTAAGTCATTTCAGTTTTGTCTGTCTTTTTATGACTCCTTTTGGGGTTTTCTTGGCAAAGATACTGGAGTAGTTTGTTATTTCCTTCTCCTGCTCATTTTATAGATGAGGAAACTGGGGCAAATAGAGTTAAGTGAGTTGCCCTGAGTCACACAAGGCAGCATATGTCTGAGGTTGGATTTTGATTTAGGAAGACAGTCTTCCTCACTTCAGGCCTAGCATGCTATCTACTATGCCACCTAGCTGCCTTTTATATAATCTATGCTAATCTCAATACAGTTTTACTTATAAACTAGCAAACACAGTGCTTTATCATTCAACTGTAGATTATGTAGATAGGGAGGAAGAGAAGTTTGTAGCACTTCCTTTATTCAAATTAATGTTTCCTTTTTCTTATCCCTGTTAAAGCTATAGGTCTAAAGAACTTTTTTTTTTTTTTGAGGCAAACAGTAACTGGTGTAAGTAGCATCTACTTGTATAAAAATTGCTTTAACAGGCAATGAAGATCTATAAAATTTGAGAAAGTTTCCCATGATTTTGGAAGTACTTTCCTTTAATGAAATATTAAAAAAAATTCTACCAAGCATCTTTTTATTCCATTCAAAAATAAGCATGATGTTGGTCAATTCCCCCAGTTGCTAATGTCCTCCTCAGAAATTACTTTGTATATGTTTTGCATTTAAGTTTCAATGTACATGTTATTTCCTACCAATAGAATATAAACTCTCTGAGGACAGGACCTATTTTGTTTGTGTCTACATATTCCCAGAGTGAAACATGTCCAGAACATAGCAAGTGCTTAAAAAAAATTGTTGAGTGAATGAAAGATTTAATTGATTTGATTTGATTTGTTTAGAAAAGTTAAGACAATTATTTTCATCAATATCACTTGATTTTATAAAATCTAAGAATGTAATCTTTAAATGAAGCAGTGGATTTTCCAAAGAATTGACTTGACAACTGGACCTTATTAAACAGAAAAAGGAGGTTTTCTTCTCTAGCAGTAAGTAGATTTTACAGAGGAGAGTGATTTTTGACATTTGCTCCATTTAAGGGTTTCCGAGTTTTTTGAACTAAAGGTTTCTTTTAATTAAAATAAATGGAGTTTCTGAAGACCTTGAAAGAATTAAAATTCAAAGAATTCAAAACATTTTTATTATAGTAATCTGCCAACACACTGGTGGTTTGCATGCCTGATTTCTTAATTCTAAATATGATGATGGCTCTTCACAGCAAACATTTAAGAAAATCACCTAATGGCTTCTCTGTACTTAACTAATTATCAGATAGCAGATATAATTTATCATCCAGGCTAAAGTCAAAGCTGCTTTATCTTGGGAGACTCTGATGGAGACTAGAAAAGTTTTTAAAAACACAGACTCATCTCCATCCCATAGTCAGGCATGAGCCTTATATTGTAAAACTGCAGCACTCTATGGTTTACAAAGCACTTTACTCACAACTCTGTGAGGTAAGTAATGCAAGTGCTGTTGTTTTTGTTTTATAGATAGTAAAAGAGACTCACAGAGGTTAATCAACTTGTACATCATCTCATAGCTGGAAAGTGGTAGAGACAGAACTAAAAACTCAGTCTTTTTCTTTCTACATTTCCTCTTTGGAGAGAGCACAACATGAAGACAGAATCAAAATTGTCCTTATAGACTCAAGAGAGGTAATGCCAATTGATGTGAGTTTACATTTTTAATCATGCTTCAGGGCATTCGTAGCAAAGCCCATATTTTGGACTAGCCAGTCTAAGACCCTAATGTGCTTTTACTAGAGAGTCCTCCATCACCTTTTGGATGAAAGTTGAGTTGAAAGACTGAATTCTTAAGAATGGTTTCACTTGGCTTTAATTCATAAGAGTTTTTATTAAAAAAAAAATTCTGTCTGTAATAGGCCTTAAAACATATTTTCTTTATTTCATTTTCCTTTCATAAAAATACATTTCATTCCAACCGTTTTATCCCATTAATCTATTTACTCCTGTCCACACAGATGGCTGGATGAGTACCAAGATGATGGGAAGACTGAGAGAGAGCTGCTTGCGAAAAGTAAGTAAGGTGAAGCTGATTGATAACTTTTTTGAAAGGTTGATTGGTTCTGCAGCTGAAATCTTGTTTTTTTGAAGGCTATCAATCTTATGTCAATGTTGTGTTTGACTTGACCTGATACTCAAGGAAAGATGTTGGACCAAGGGTTGGTTTGTTCTGGACAAATTAATTTCCTTTGAGAATTTCAGTTATTGGAGAGACTGTATCATTAGTTTATCTGACCAGAAATTCATCTACTAATTTATAAAATGTATTTTTAATTTTTTCAATATCTATGGCTTAGATAAATAACTTGAATAGGAACTGATTGGTCAATATACATAATTTTCATTAGCCAGGGGTGTGAAGAGGTAGTCCAGTCTAGTGGATAGAGGATAAGCCTGAAAGCCAAGAAGATCTGGATTCGAGTCTTGCTTGTAACACACATTAAATGTCTTTTTTTTTTTTTTTCTTCTGGTGAGGCAATTGGGGTGAATACCTTGATTTTTTTCTGCCTCAATATCTTTGCTTATGCTGATCTCTATATCTCAATCAATAGATCATTGAACAAATATTTATGAAGGATCTATATTGTGCCAGGAACTGTAGTAGACATTAGGGATGCAAACAAAAAAAGAAAAAAAATTCTTTCAAGAAGCTTACATTCTGCTGGGTGAGTCAATGGGCACAAAAAAAAAGGCGAACTGTCAAGCAGTTTATTTGTGAAAGGCACCATGTTAGGGGCTGAAGAGAAGTACAAAGGAGAGATACAGACAAAGCACTCTGGGAAATTTTGAAGAGGGAAAGATCATTTTCAGCTGGGACATTTTCATGGAGGAGATGGTACCTAAAGCTAAGTCTCAAAGAGAAGTATTTCAACAGGCAGAGGTAAGGAAGAAACACATTCCAGGAAAAAAATGCCTGGAACTAGAAGAAGGTTGGATAAACTCAGAAATGGCTAGATCACAGTCCAATCTGGCTGAACCATACAATGTTTTTAAGGGGTATGATGGGAAATAAAGCTGGAAAAATAAGTTGGAGCCAGATTGTAGAAGTCCTTGAGTCCCAGGATAGTCAGGAAATGTCATCTAAAACCTATGTGTCTTTGGTCATCCTGCCGCTAAGAAAATTAATTCAGTCAGGAAGAACTGCACATTTCACTTCTGGAGGTAAAATCTCAATTATGGATAGTATCACTCAAAACAGAGAAGGACAAATCCATTAAATATGTCTCCTGTTGACCAGAGAAAGGAAAAGAAAAAAAATGTGCACTCTAGTGTACACAGAACATAAGAGTTTTCAAAATGGAAAGCAGAAAAGAAGTGGAATGGGTTTTGTTTTTTATTTGTGGAGTATAAACTGGATTCAGAAGAATTACTATTGAAAGAATTAACAGGATGGAATTCTTTGGAAATTCTGGCAAGGTGGTAAATATGTGACAGTAAAGGCACTCTTAAGTGCTTTTTATTTTCAGTGTAGTATCCATTTCTTCAAAAATCATGCCTGTGTTTTTACCTTTTATATCTGAAATAAAGGGGAGAGTGGAATTAATGCATTTAACTTATTTAGGGAATCAGTTACTTGAATTAGTCAACCATGATATAAGTGTGGTGATAACATTAATACCTAGCATACATGCAGTGCTTTAAGGTTTTTGAAGCACTTTTACACACATTTACCCATTCTCTCAATAATCCTGGGAAATAGGTGTTGTTACTACTCCTATTTTCCAAATGAAGAAACTGAGATGAAAAAGTTAAATAATTTGCCCAGGGTGTTACACAACTACTAAGTGTCTGTGCCACCTAGTTGCCTAATAAGTGGTTAAATTTACCTCAGAGTCTGAATATAGACCATCCCCCCCACAATTTGACTTAGACAAAACCTGAGAGGACCAATAATGATGCTATTATTATGTGAAATGATAATAAAAAACAAAAATGAGAACAAAAATGTTAAAAATAAATAAAATATTTTATTTCATTTGAATGAAATGTTAAATGAAAAACTTTGCACAGAAATATATGTATATATATATATTTATATGCATATATATGTATGGGTTTGTATATATGTATGTATACACACACACACACACACACACACACACACACATATAGTGACCCTGTATAATTATTTTTCAATATGCATTTATATGTGTTTGTGCATGTTTCTTTTCCAAGAGTACTCAATGTAGGACTGCAACATATTATTCTATTTAACAAAAGCTATATTAAAATTCAACACATTTAATTACTACATACCATGTGTCAGGCACTGGGGATACAAAGACAAAATGAAATAATCTTTTCCATCAAGAAATTTACTTTCTTCTGGGGTGGGATACAACATGTACACAGCTAAGTCAACACAAATATGAAGGCACTTGAGAATCACTATGGTGAATCAGACATAAAGTTGATTTTTGGAGACAGAAAATCATGGGTTCAAGTTTCAGCCACCTCTGACAGACACTGGCTATGTGACTCTAGGAAAATCGTTTAACCTCTTAGCACATCAGGCAAAACTCTAAGACTATATGTTGGAGGACAAATACCAACTGCATCAGGAGAAGGGGGTCCTCACTGAAAGCTACCTATTTAGATAAAATCAAGGTCCTCATCTTAAAAAAACAAAAAATTCAAAAGAAAGGGAATACTAACAATTGGAGTGCTCAGGAAGCATCTCTTATAGGAGGTGGCACTTGACTTAAGACATTGGAAGCTAAGGATTCCAAGAGGCAGGGGTGAGAAGGGAATATATTCTAGGCACGTGTGACAGCCTTTGCGAAGGCACAGAGATGACAGATGACAAGTCATGTTTGGACATCAGCTAGTAATCCAGTTTGGCTAGAATACAGAGTATATTAAGGGAAATAATATGAAATATGCCTGGAGAGGTGGGTGAGGGCCAGATTCTAGGGAATTCTAAATGCTAAACATTAAATGCCAAAAGAAGACTTTGCATTTTAGTCTAGAGGAAACAAGATTAAGATCTTTTGAGTGAAGGAGTGACATGGTCAGATATGCATCCTAGAAATATTAATTTGGCAGCAATGTGAAGGATGGATTAGAGAGGTCATACTCTGGTATGGACAGAAGCAGGAAGATCAATTAGGAGATTCATACAATAATATAAATGAAGAGTTATGAGGGCCTGAATTAATGCTAGATATTTTGTGGAGGGTGAATAAAACAAACCACTTTGTAGTTTTACTGCACACTTCCTAGCACATAGTAGGTGATTAATGGTTGCTTGTTGACTGATTTTTAAAAAGGGCTCTAATGTGTGTTGCCTCATCCTCAATTAAAAAAAAAAAACACATGAGGCAGATGTGAGAGTGTCTTATTCCCACATTATAGTTGTGAAACTAAGAGTCAGGGAAATTTAAAGGGACATGTCTGAGGAAATGTGCCTAAAGTGGTTGTGCTATTTGCCTGGATAATCAATCCCTTAATATCCATTAATAATTGTATAGGTAAAAATAGGGCAGTGTTAAAGAGTGACAGTTTAATTAATCTGAAGGATATGCAACTTCCTTGTGACTTTCTTTGTTGAGCTGATTCAGTGCTATTATTGGGAAAAAAAGTGGCAGTTCTCGGCTAATATTATCTATCACAGTTAAGGAGAAATCTGCAGTTTTCTGCGCTGATAATCCCCTTGAACAGTTAAATTTTAATTCACTTCTAGTAACAAAGAAACCTCCACAGGTGGTCCTTCTTTTCAAATTGATGTTAGTAAAGGAAGGAGACTCATTATGATTCTAAGAGGCAGGGAGAGGCAGTGTGCTGAGCATTGGACCAGAAGTTCAGAAGATGTGAATATTAATCTTGATTCTAGCAGTAACTTAGCCAGTGACACTGGGCACATAATAACAGCATCCTCAGACCTCTATTTCCTTGCCTGCAAAATGAGGATAAACACATCCAATCAATTTGCACATGCCTTTTATATGAAATAAGTAACAGCAGCATTGATCATTGAATCCTAATAATGTTCCATCTAATTATCAATTGAATACATATATAGGGGAAGGGAAAAAGATCACAAATTCATCAGTTATCATTTCTCTGAAACTCTCCTTGTCTTAAGAAATGGTGTTTAATTGGGTGTTTTGGGAACTCCTCAAGATACTTAAAAAACTCATTCTTTGTTTCTTTCCAATTGCTTTTATGAATCTGTTCTTACCCTAGTGAGTTATTCTTTAGGGGAAAAAAGGGACTTGAGAGATGTTTTGTTTACGGTAATGTCACTTTTGATAGATAGGAGAAGCTTCTGCAGGAAGCCACATTTAGGTGAAAATAGATTTTAAAGAGACAGCAGGAGCAACTTCATGTCAGAGTGCATACAGGCTTCCTTGGAGTATTCTGAAATTACAAAATTAGTTTCAAAAGCTGAGTATAATCTTTTTCTTGATTCAATTAAATTACAAGTGATGAAAGGGCAAATATCATCAACTTAATTCAACAAGCGCGTATTGAAATATCTACTATGTACCAAGCACTATGTGCCAAGCAGATAAAAAGAAGACTGAGAAAACACCCTCCCCACCCTGCCAAAAAAAAAAAGCCACATAAAATGTCTGTCTTTTTCAAAAGTCTGTTGAGGGAATACAGTAAGTAATTAGATAAGTATATCTGCTATTTTAATTTGAGCAAGGAGTTGATTTGAGTAGTGAAAGAATAACTACAGGGAAGAGATAGGCTTCCCATAGGATGTTGTCTGTGATATTTACCCAATAATCTATCATCATTCAATGAGAGGAGACTAGCTCAGACCTATTGTTGGATACCCTAGGGAATTTGATGTACTTCCCCACTACTAGGTGGTCATCTAAGACATGAGGGCTGCAGGAGGCAAGAAGGGAACGAGTATTCTGGATGAGGACAACCAGCCTTCTTGCTGGGTAGATATGGACAAATTAGCAAAGGTGTATAGATTCAGCTATTTAGGGAAGGAAATTTGGGGTCATTTTTAAAGTAATTTTGTTTGTATAATTTGAAGTACAAAAATGTATTCAA